AGCTGTAAGCCGCCACCTGGCAATACAACACGTGGTAGAGCTGTAAACCGCCACCTACAACAACACAACACGGGTTGGAGCTGTAAGCCGCCACCTACAACACAACACGGTGGAGCCAAACCGCCACCTACAACACAACACGTGGTGGAGCTGTAAAACCGCCACCTACAACACAACACGCTGGAGCTGTAAACCGCCACCTACAACACAACACGTGGTGGAGCCGTAAAACCGCCACCTGCCAACACAACACGTGGTGGAGCTGTAAAACCGCCACCTACAACACAACACGGGCTGGAGCGAAACCGCCACCTACAACACAACACGTGGTGGATGTAAACCGCCACCCATAAACATGGTAGCACGGGTGGAGCTGTAAACCGCCACCTACAATACAACACGGTGGAGCCAAGCCGCCACCTACAACACAACACGGGCTGGAGCTGCAAACCGCCACCTGCCAACACAACACGTGGTGGAGTTGTAAACGCCACCTACAACACAACACGTGCTGAGCTGTAAACTGCCACTACAACACAACAACACGTGCTGGAGCTGTAAACTGCCACCTACAACACAACACGTGGTGGAGCCAAAACCGCCACCTATAACACAACACGGGCTGGAGCCGTAAAACCGCCACCACAACACAACACGTGGTGGGAGCCGTAAAACCGCCACCTATAACACAACACGTGAGCCAAAACCGCCACCTACAACACAACACGTGGTGAGCCAGTAAACTGCCACCTACAACACAAACACGTGGTGGAGCCAAAACCGCCACCTACAACACAACACGGTGAGCTGTAAACCGCCACCTATAACACAACACGGTGGAGCTGTAAACCGCCACCCATAACACAACACGGGCTGAGCCAAACCGCCACCTACAACACAACACGTGGTGGAGCTGTAAACCCGCCACCTACAACACAACACGGTGAGCTGTAAACCGCCACCTATAACACAACACGGTGGAGCTGTAAACCGCCACCTACAACACAAACATGTGGTGGAGCTGTAAACCGCCACCTACAACACAAATACCACGGTGAGCCGTAAACCGCCACCTATAACACAACACGTGGTGGAGCCAAAAACCGCCACCTACAACACAACACGGTGGAGCTGTAAACCGCCACCTACAACACAACACGGGCTGGAGCAAACCGCCACCTACAACACAACACGGCTGGAGCTGTAAAACCGCCACCTACAACACAACACGGGTGGAGCTGTAAAACCACACCTACAACACAACACGGGCTGGAGCCGTAAACCGCCACCTACAACATAACACGTGGTGGAGCTGTAAAATGCCACCACAACACAACACGGGCTGGAGCTGTAAAACCGCCACTCACAACACAACACGGTGAGCCAAACTGCCACCTACAACACAACACGGGCTGGAGCTGTAAACCGCCACCACAACACAACACGGGCTGGAGCTGCAAACCGCCACCTACAACACAACACACGTGTGGAGCTAAACTGCCACCTACAACACAACACGGGCTGGAGCCAAACCCCACCACTCTACAACACAACACGGGCTGAGCTGTAAACCCCCACTCCTGCCAACACAACACGGGCTGGAGCTGCAAACCGCCACCCACAACACAAACATGGCTGGAGCTGTAAACCCCACCTACAACAACACACCACGGGCTGAGCTGTAAACCCCACCTGGCTGTCATCACAACACGGGCTGGAAGCCAAACTGCCACCTATAACACAACACGGCTGAGCTAAAACCGCCACCTGCTAACACAACACGTTGAGCTGTAAACTGCCACCTATAACACAACACGGGCTGGAGCTGTAAACCGCCACCTATAACACAACACGGGCTGGAGCTGTAAACTGCCACCTAAGCAACACAACACGGGCTGAGCTGTAAATCGCCACCCTACAACACAACACGGGCTGGAGCTGTAAACTGCCACCCATAACACAACACGGGCTGAGCTGTAAAACCGCCACCTACAACACAACACGGTGAAGCCAAAACACACTCTATAACACAGCCAACACGGTGGAGCTGTAAACCGCCACCTACAACACAACACGGTGGAGCGTAAACCGCCACCTACAACACAATACGGCTGGGAGCTGTAAAACTGCCACCATAACACAAACATTGGGCTGAACAAACCGCCACCTACAACACAACACGGCTGGAGCTGTAAAACTGCCACCTATAACACAACACGGGCTGGAGCTGTAAACCGCCACCTGGCTAACACAAATACGTGGTGGGAGCCGTAAAACCGCCACCTATAACACAACACGTGGTGGAGCTGTAAACCGCCACCTACAACACAACACGTGGTGGAGCTGTAAAACCGCCAATCACCTACAACACAACACGGTGGAGCTAAACCGCCAACGGCTACAACACACAACACGGGCTGAGCTGTAAACCGCCACCTATAACACACAACACGGGCTGGAGCCAAACTGCCACCTACAACACAACACGTGGAGCTGTAAACCGCCACCTACAACACAACACGTGGTGAAGCTGTAAAACTCACCTACAACACAACACGACAAACCCTCACCTACAACACAACACGGTGGAGCTAAACCGCCACTCACAACACAACACGGGCTGGAGCTGTGAACCGCCACCTACAATACGCCAACACGTGGTGGAGCTGCAAACCGCCACCTACAACACAACACGTGGTGAAGCTGCAAAACTCCACCTACACAACACAACACGTGTAGAGCTGTAAACTCCACCTAGCTAACACAACACGTGGTGGAGCTGTAAACCGCCACCTACAACACAACACGGCTGGAGCTGTAAAACCGCCACCTACAACACAACACGTGGTAGAGCTGTACGTCACCCACAACACAACACGGGCTGAGCCAAACCGCCACCTATAACACAACACGTGGTGGAGCTGTAAACCGCCACCTACAACACAACACGTGGTGGAGCTGTAAACCGCCACCTACAACACAACACGTGGTGAAGCTGTAAACCTCCACCTACAACACAACACGTGGTAGAGCTGCAACCCCCACCTACAACACAACACGTGGTGGAGCTGTAAAACCGCCACCCACACAACACGGGCTGGAGCCGTAAAACCGCCACCTACAACACAACACGGTGGAGCTGTAAACCGCCACCTACAACACAACACGTGGTGAAGCTGTAAACCTCCACCTACAACACAACACGGTAGAGCTGTAAACCCTCCACCTACAACACAACACGTGGTGAGCCAAAAAAAACCGCCACCTACAACACAACACGGGCTGGAGAGCTGTAAACTGCCACCACAACACAACACGTGGTGAGCTGTAAGCCGCCACCCACAACACAACACGGGCTGAGCTGTAAAACTGCCACCTATAACAACACGTGGTGGAGCTGTAAACCGCCACCTACAACACAACACGTGGTGAGCTGTAGTCGCCACCACAACACAACAATGCAGGAGCTGTAAACCGCCATCTACAACACAACACGTGGTGGAGCTGCAAACCGCCACCACAACACAACACGTGGTGGAGCTGTAAAACCGCCACCAACACAACACGTGGTGGAGCTGTAAACCGCCACCTACAACACAACACGTGGTGGAGCTGTAAACCGCCACCTACAACACAACACATGGTGGAAAGCTGTAAGCCGCCATCTACAACACAACACGGGCT